CGTCACTTCCGTTCCTATGTTGAGCGATTGGTTGAAAATATGATAATGCTATATTGCACGAATTATTTGGCAAATTAAAGTCTTATAATTGATAATCAGCACTGCTGTCATTAGGGAATCGTGATTAAGTACTTACAGAACAAATATTATTTCTAGTTTATCCTGAATAATGACGATCACAATGACGCTTGATGAACTTTAATAGAGCAGGGATACAGGCGATCCCCTCTATCTGGTAAATGACGTTACAAAGGCGCACAAAATTGACGAACTTTTCCGGTGAAGGACATAACTCGAAAGTGGTCTATTCATTTCCAGTTAGTTGCCTTCAAGCTTTCTAAATCATTTCAGAGATACAAAATCAATATATGTTAAGACAATCCATAGATATAGACGTCGCTCACACTGAATATTAAATTATATGTAGGTCTACCAGTACTTTCTTCGTTCAAAGTGGCTCGTTTTTGCATGGAAGTTCCGATACAGTTTTACCGAATTTCACACAAAACAATAGGTCTACAAGATATTGATATCATATATATCTTTTAAGGCCCCAAACTTTTCACAATTACAAAAAATCAGTGAAACTGCCAAACCATCATAAGTTTGAGATACTGCAATAAGTATTTAATTATTAGCAATAGCCTTACCACAAATATGTAGCTAATTTTGCCAAAAAATGTCCAAAACAGTGATGTTCATTTGAGTTTAGGGATAAGGTTATTGTTCATATTGCATTTGAAAATCTAAGGGAAAATTTTAGGTTTAATATGTATCATATTACAAAGGCATCTTACAAAAATATTCTGCACAAAGGAGACCAGTCTTTGTCATCCAATCAATTTCAATTTTATTTTATTCGGCTGAGCCAGACACTTAAGTTTGACAACTACATGTTTTTCTTCAAAGATTTACAACTGGTTTTGGTAGTTCGTGCTGTCTAAAGAATCTACAATAATTTAGTTTAAGAAAAATATTTTCCTTTCCTTTCTTTTGGAATGCATCACTAAAAGCAATTACAATCTTTATCCCATTTGAGATTTAAACAATCACCATACATGTACTCTTAGATGTAGAGGGGGAGCATTTCTGTATTCGTAATTTTTTTAGGCCATGTTCTCCATTAAAGAGAAGCGAAAGATACCAAAGGAACATTCAAACTGATTTTGTGTCATGGATGGATACACCATATCATTTCTTATCTATTGTGACAACGCCAGGGCAAAAAAACAAATATATAAATGTTTATTAAATTCTTTTTATGTTATATTTTGCGATGTATAATTCTTTACATTAAAGAACCCTATTATTTTTCATTGTTTTGCATATTTTTCTCTATTGATTTTGAGTGGCATGTTATTCTCTATTCTGTTAATCTCAACCAGACCCTCATTTTTTTTTTTTTTTAATTTTTACAGGAACTTGTGCAGAATGCAGAAGATGCTGAAGCTTCAGTCATGAAGATTTTGTTTGTACCAGAAACTTCCACTTCATCCCCGCCGGAATTCGAAAAGTATTTTCAGGTATTGGTGTTTTTATATATTATATTCATGTATCTTTGCTTTTTGTTTGATAAGACTAATGTATGACTTCCACAGCTAGTTTCCGACGAAACCACACAGTTTGATTTTAGTTTGATGTGTTTCAATTCATATACAAAATATGATACGGTCCATGCATATTTGATACGACTGGTGTTTGGCTGAAACAGCTAGTTTCCGATGAAATTACGCATTTGTTTTTCATAACATTTATTTCTATGTAAATTCAAAATGTTAACGTTCGAAACTTTTAGATAAACTGATTTTTGCATGATTTGAGAAAGAAATGACCAGCTTTAATTTGTTTTTACCGTATACGGACAGCGCAGTAGTATTATTTGTTAGAACCCAACAAGAAAAAAAGGGCTTAACATGATTATTGAGATATAAAAAAGAAGATGTGGTATAGTACTTTTGTCATAATAATATGATTATAATAATACTTATACTATGATTAATGGGATAGTACGTATACTTTTGTCATAATGATATGAGTATACTAATACTTATACTATGATATTTTAATTCATAATTGATCAAGGAATATTTGAATGCAAACATCTAAATTCGACAATACATAATTCAACTATAGAACCTGATCAAGAATAATCTGCGGATGTGTATTTTTTTATATTAATGCGCAACCAATGTTATGCAGAGTGCTTCGCTCCTAGAATGAAACAAATCTTAAAGTATCATTGATCAAGAGTTAACTCATATTCCCCTCTGAGTATCACATTCCGCTCTGAAAATCAGGACAACCTCGTGCGACTTTATGCGTGGTTAATGGTTATAACGTTTTGAACGTTTTTTAATAGCAATAGCAGTCATAATGTTTCAATAAAATTTCAGACGTAAAAATCAAAACAACAAAAAATCTTTTGTTCAGGAAGTAATAGGCAGTGGAATAAAACATTCATTTCCCCCTTGGCTTAGGGATATATAAAGATTTGCTTACTCTCTAAAACTCATATTTCTCCGGGCAATGCCCTCGGAAAATATGATTTCTCGGATGAACAAATCTTCATATCTCATTCAGGAAAGGGAAATAAATGTATGTTGTCCACAACATGAACATTACCTCGATAAAACATTTTAAAGTTATTTAAAAAAAATCGATGCTTGAACTTCTATCAAATAATTGAAAGGATAAAGTGGTCCATGATGATCTACCAACTTCCTATAACCATTCGGCCCTCAAGGTTCTTAAAGATTGTGTATTTATGATTTCTCGGTTGAACAAATCTTCATATCTCACTCAGTGAAGGGAAATAAATGTATATTGTCCACAACATGAACATTACCTCGATAAAGCATTTTTAAAGTTATTTTTAAAAAAGCTCGTACCGATACATTTGAACTTCTATCAAATAATTGAAAGGATAAAGTAGGCCATGATGGTCTACCAACATTCTAAACCATTCGGCCCTCAAGGTCCTTGAAGATTGTGTATTTATGCTTTTTACACACCTTATATTTCAGTCTCCAGGAGTATGTGTTTACAATGATGCCCTTTTCAATGAAGTGGATTGGAAAAATATTAGATCAGTGTGTATCAGTCACAAGGAGACAGAGGAAAACAAAATTGGAAAATATGGACAAGGATTCAAATCCATTTTTCATCTGACAGGTACACAAATCTATTTTTTCTCGGACAGGTACACAAATCCATTTTTCATCTGACAGGTACACAAATCTATATTTCCTCTGACAAGTACACAAATCCTTTTTTTTATCTGACAGGTACACAAATCCATTTTTTCACCTGACAGATACATTATTCCATTTTTCATCTGACAGGTATACATCATTTCTGCTTCAGTTAAATTACTTTCTTAACAGATTAAGCGAAATCTGCTCAGTGAGAAAACAATACAAAATTGAAGCAAGTCCTAGTTAAAATTAATATACTAGTAAATGTTAAGAAAATATTAAAACTTTAAATATTTCATATCTATAAAACACTTTTTTCTCACTTTTCTGACAATAAAAAAATTTCAAAAGACGATACAAATATTTATGTAACAACTCCTACTTTCCTATTCCAGGCGACTGATTGAAAACAGTATCACTTATGTATTGCAAGGATCGCAGTGTCCAAAATAATAGTTTATGAATTAACACTTTGATACTTGTTAAAACAGATATAACATGTCATTCTTGACTTATATTCATCCCTTAGGGTCGAATACATGTGAACATTTTGATTTTGATATTATTTTTTCTTATAGACAACCCTCTTATAGTTAGCGGAGGTACAGTTCTACTGATAGATCCATTTAGACATCATTCATGCGGCAACTTCGAACTGAGGGACCTCTTCTCTACAATATTGACTTCAACACACATTAAGTCATGTTTTAAATTATTCGGATTAACAGAAGAGGCAATACAAAACAGTTTTTATGATGGAACTTTGTTTTGGTTTCCATTTCGCAAGCTGGAAAGTAAGTTGTCGAAAAATGTTTTTACAGAAAGTGAAGTAAAACAACTGTTAAACAGCTTTGCAGATGATGCGTCGATTGTATTGCTTTTCCTGAATCATCTACAGAAAATACAAATGTATAATCACTGAGACCACACTACGCCCTATCTTCAAGTTGAACGAACATGTGTCCATCATTTATCAGAAACAAACTTTCATGAAAATATGATTCATTTTGAAAATACTCCAGATGAGTGTTTTATCAGAGAAATTGAGATTAACACAATAAAAGCAGAAACTCCTAGTCAGATTGATAAATGGGTAATTGTTAATCAGACCGATAGGACGTCTAACTATGGAGGAGACGAGTTTGATATAGGATCACACTGTAAACCAAACATAACTTTAGCATATCTTCATGCAAGCAGTGAAGATAAACCAATGGTTGGTTGTCGAATTTTCAATTACCTACCTTTGCCGGTAACATGCATCACTGGACTTCCCGTATGTGTGCAAGGACCGTTTGCCATCAGTCAGAATAGACGCGAGCTCAAACTTCCTGACAAGCGTTCAAAAGATAGATTTGTTATATGGAATGAAAAACTTTTTCAACTTATTCCGAGAACATACAAATTATTAGTCAATTATTTAATATCCACCAGTGAAAGGAATGGTAATTCCGACCAGTTAGTTTCAACTGTTTACAACTGTATTCCAGACATTGATAAAGTAGAAACATTCTGGAAACCATATACAGAAGCTATTTATGAAGAGCTTTTGAGCCTGCCTATATTCTTCACAGAACTTATAGATAACTATTGGGTTACCAAAGAAGTAGCATTAAATCCATCAACACATAATGCTGAAGTTAGAACTCGAGTCATAACATTTTTACTTGATCACAAACACCCTGTTATCAAAATAGGAGGAAACATTCCATCGATATTAGGCCGTTCAGAAATAAAAATGATTACTCCTGCCTTTATTGTAAATTTACTGAAAAATGCAGTTTTACCTGAAACATATGATCAAGAGATGAGACTATGCCTACTTGAATACATTTTGCAGGATCCCACCTTAGACAATGACGGCATAAAACTAATTCCTGTAGAGAATGGAGATTACGTGTGTTTTCGTCGTTCATATGAGTATGATGCTGAACCTGAGGAAACACTTTTGCTATTATCAGCTGATCAGCGAAGAGTATTCCCAGGGCTCGAGCACAGAATTGTCAAGACTGAAGGCCTTTCTGAACCAGCCTATCAAAGTTTAAAAGAAATTGCAACTAGTGGTAATTATGAAAAGTGTGGTAGATAACCATGAAAAATTATCATTGTTCAGTTATACCGGTTCTAAAGTTAATTGCTTTCAGGATTTTTATTGCAAGATTTTCAATGTTCCTCTTGTTATTTCATTGATCAAAATTAAAACGGGCATTGTTGTTATAAAAAAAAATGTTAAATTCGACACATGTTCAAGTGCTTTTCCAAAGTCAGGAACCTGGTCATTTTTTTATTTAACATATCTTAACAATATGAATTTGGCATTGATTTTATTTGTTTTTACACTCTTTTTGACAAATCAACTTGCTTGATTATTTAGTGGTGTTTAAAGTTTAATGATTGAAATCAGATTGGATAAGGAAACGTTTTCTCAAACAAATTGTCTATATCATAATGGTATTTTATCATAATTTTTTAGAAAAATATCAACTATGTTGTTTACATTTGGATGATCTGCCCATGTTGTTACAATCAGTAATAAAGCAGCATTGCTATCCTATTGATACAGACGGAGAAGCTGAGATCATTAAAGATTCTCCACTGACCATAGACTGGATAACACGAGTATGGACATTGATCAATTCGTTTGATCCGCATGATTTGGAACCCTTTGAAGATATCCACTTGATACCTAGGAAAAAACCAGCAGCGAACAACTTGCAAACTATTGCACATTTACTTACTATGAAAAAGTCGTATCTGTTTTCTAGTTACGAAGGATGTCCTAACATTGCTAGCAATATACAGACTATATTAGAGTCCGTAGGAGTAGAAGTGATACCATACCCATGCGATGTACTTCGACCATGTGAACATCTTCTTAAAGGAAACTATATAAAGATTCCAACTTTTGATTCGTTGATTCAGTTGTGCAAGAACAATAAAGATCTTCAAAAAAAGATTCAAAGAATTCTTGGGTTCAAACGCACTTTGGAATTACCGAATTCAGAAATTACTAGTGCTACATCATTTGGACAGAAAGAAGACCTTACAACACGGATAAAAGGGATACTTAGTGATCACCCAATTGATCATTCGTTTCTAAATGAACTTTTACAAAATGCCGATGACGCAGGAGCAACCGAAGTACATTTTGTGTACGACAAGCGAAATCACAACAATAGCAACGACGGGATATTTGATGAAAGATGGGAACCACTTTTAGGACCCGCCCTTTGTGTGTTCAACAATGCTTGTTTCACAGAAACAGATATTAAAGGAATACAAGAATTAGGAATTGGTGGAAAATGTGGAGACAAATCAAAGGCTGGACAATTTGGGTTCGGGTTTAACGCCGTTTACCACATAACTGATGTTCCATCGTTTATTACAAAAGGACCAGATTCACCGGGAGGAGGGGTTTTCTGTGCTTTCGACCCTCATTGCAAATATGCTCCATATGCACATTACGACGAACCTGGAATGAGAATGAACTTGGATGAACTCATAGAAAAGTATTCATCAGTTTATCGTTCTCATATTGGCGACGTACTTACGTCAGATACTGGTACATGGTTCCGTTTTCCTCTTAGAAACCATTCTATGATGACATCATCAGAACTGCTGGTAACCGAAAATACAGATCCTGAAACAGAAACTCTACAGTTGATTGAGTGTATGGAAGAAACTATAGTAGAAAGTCTAATTTTTCTAATGAATGTAAACTGCATTAAAATTTCACAAATATACGAAAAAACTGATAATTTGGAATTGATCAAGAAGGCTGAAGTAAACCTCACACAGTCTGATGCTAACACAAGAACCAGATTTAAGGATTCTGTAGGAAGAAGTATACAACTTTTCAATTCGTCATCCACTTATCAGTGTAGTGAGATTGAAGAATATCGATATCGCATGACAATAAACGAGGAAAATCAGCATTACAAGACATACTTAGTTGTTCAAGGTATTGGTCTTCAAAATGTTGATCAAACAACAAGGAACGTTGTAAATGAGGTAAAACGACTCCCAGTTGGAGGTGTCGCTGTTCTGGCAGACTCGTCCGAAAACATAATAGAGGACAAACGACCAAAAACCAAGTACAGGGTGTTTTGTACGCTACCACTTCCATCAACAACGGGTCTCACTGTTCATATCAATGGCCATTTTGAGCTTGATTCGTCTAGAAAACAGTTATTTGAATCTAGCCACTCAAGAAAACAAAACGATAACAGATATCAATGGAATACAATTCTATTACAACAAAATGTGTCTCATGTTTATGTGAGTTGCATAGAAGAATTGAAATCATTTTTATTTCAAGGGTACGGAGACAATGGGTTTAACAAATTAGGAACGTTTTTGGCTCACTTTCCTGTCGATAATACCCAACACAAGTATTGGCAAGAATTGCTATTCTATTTCTATCAAATTATAAAGGCACGAAGAGCAAGTTTGTTTCCTGTAAGTCCTGAATACACTTCTCTCATTATTCAAGATACACAAGGACCGTCCAATCATATAAACATTAAATGGGTATATGAAGAAGAGTCAAATGATGTATTTTTTGACGATTTGGATTCTCAAATTACCGGCAGTGACTGGCAAGATAGTGCAACTAATGACACGGTGCAGGAAAAAGCAGAAAAATTACGACAGTTTTTTGTCAACATGGGCATTAAACTTTCATGTGGTTCCCAAGATATAGTAAAAAGCTTTTCTAAAACATGTAAAAACCACAATGGCAGAAAAAGACACCATGTTTACTCTTCTTTATCAACGTCTGACTTTGCATGCGTTTTTAAAGAAAACATCTCACCTAAATCTGTAAGTGTGTTCATGAAAAAGAAATTTAACAAACTTTGTAGTAGTGAATGGGAAACAGCAGTTAAAGTCATACAAATTGATGATATAGAACTTTGCTTGGAATACCTTCTTAAGTCACTAAATTGGAAAGATATCGTAGGTCTTCCGCTTTTGTTGGCAGATGATGGTTTAGTTCATCCAATACAACTCAGGAATGAATTCTTTTTATCTGAATTTGAAGCCCTATTGACTAGTTGTGAAGGAAGCTTTGTTCATAGAAGCTTGGTACCATCTCTTACAAAATACATAAAGGAATGTAAATCTTTAGATTTGTTTAAAAAATTAGATTTAGACAATTTTGCTACACTTTTAGAAAGATCTCAGGACAAGTTCAGACTAAAAAGCGCAAATATTATTGATTGGAATCAAAAGGAAACTCCAGTTGCAGGAAAATGGATCGACGAAGTTTGGACATTACTTAAGTCCTTGCAAGAAGACGATAATGATTTGATTATTCCAAACTCGTTACACAATTGGTGTTTAATTCCAGCCCTCTTTGGAACACACACATTTCTCGTTCCACTAGGAAAAGGATATTGTGTGGTAGATGAGAGAACATTCGAGAGAGACGAAGGTTTTACAACGGTTATAAAGAAATTGCAAATTCCAAAATCTCTAATAAAACCTGATCTAAGAGAAAGTTTGTCTTTACTTGCGACTTACACAAATGCAAATAAAACATTTGACTGTTTGCAATACTGGATGACCCATCGAAATGTTGAGTTAACCTCCCATGAATGTGCAATTATACTAGGTTATTTTGGGCAAAACACTTGCATCCTGTCAAAAGACCGCATACGAGGTATGAGAAAACTCAGTATTTTTGAAACCATAGATGATGGAATAAAACATTTAGTTCATCCAAATATTGTTGTAACAGTAGTCGATGCTGAAATGCCTGTGCAAGGCTTGCATGATTTGTTCAACTTCATAAAGGTAACAGTCCTAAAATACAATCCAGATGCTGTCAGACTATATAGAGCTTTAAAACTAAGTGTTCCATCGAACAATGCAATGGTATATCCAATATCAGATCTATACACTTCGTTGATCTTGCCACATATTCACAAACTTAACACACCAAATCTTATGGTTCATTTAGAATATATACTAGATAAAATGTTGTATGACAGCAGTAATATCAAGGAACAAATGAGTATAGTTAAATTTATTCCTCAAAATAATAAGCTGAAAAGTGCCTCAGAATTCTTTGATAGAAATATTAAACTATTCAAACAATTTTGCGAAGAGTCAGAATTTCCACCAACTCCATTCAACCATAAAAAGTGGCTAACGCTACTTAAAGAAGCAGGAATGAAAACAGAAATATTAGGAACAATTTTAATTAGCTTTGCCAGAAGAATGACCAAAATAGCTGCAACCAATATAGAACATGACAAAAAAGCTAAGAAGTCCAAAACCTTAGTCAAAGAGATATTTTATTTTATTAATAGCAAAAAACACAGTACACTTGATGTCAAGGCATTAATTGAAGAAATAAGAACAATATCCTTTATTTTACCTCAGAAAATAGGCGATGAGTATACTGCAATACATGCAGGAAAAGTAGGAGATACCTTGATGAGATTTGAAGGGGTCCTGTCGGCCAACCGATTTAATATTGTTTGGACAGTGCAGCAAACTTTACCATTCTATGCTATGAGTGATAAACCAATTAGTGCACTGCTTGTAGAGCAAGCACCAAGTATAAGAAGTGTTTTTCAACACACAGAAAATATCTGTGCTTCTCTCAGTATCCCATGGAAGGACGAGCAAAATGATTTAATTGAAACAATAATGAAAGATATATATGAATACTTTTGTGATAATTTTGAAGATGAGTTTGAGATCACCAGAAAATTGTCAAGTGTACCGTTCGTTCATGTTACGAAACACAAAATGTTTGTTAGAGCTGAAAACATCGTGAAAAATCTATCAAGTGGAAGTGAAATAGTTCCTCATCTTGTTCAAGCACCAGAGGAATATGCACCATTCTACAAACTATTTCGTGTTCTGGGAATGACAGATACACCTACAATTAAGACATACTCTAAAGTATTGTCGTATTTTTATATGGACTTTGGTAAAGGAAGATTAAATATCGAGCAAATTGAACAGGTAGAGAAAGCGACCAAAGGTCTTGTTCAAATGCTTCAAACTACATTGATTGATGAAAGTAAGATTGATATCGATGAAAGTCCGACTGATAGCGATGAAAGTCAGATTGATATCGATGAAATTCAGACTGATATCGGTGAGAGTCAGATTGATGTCAATGACCTAATTTTAATGACAACAGATTATCGTTTGGTTCCATCTTCAGAAATATTTCTGGAAACTAGAGATGACGAAAGACAAAGAATAATGAAGAATGGAACTCTTAACCTGATGGCAGACTTGACAATATTTTCTCTCAGTAAACGTCAGATAGAGGAAATATTTATGAAACTTCCAGAAAAGTTTCGACCTATTTTTGCAGGTACTTCCATTCATGAAGAAGTTCTTTCCACTGATGAATTAGTCCTGAATAGCGATATTGCAGATAAGCTAAAGGATTATTTAACCAGCGACCACTTTTTAAAAGGAATTTTGCGTCTTGCAAAGTACAACGCCTCGTCTAGAAATAAGAAGATGGATGAAAGTTTACTTCTAGACATTGAATCAAATTTAAAAACAATTCAAATTTGCAGTGTTACAAATTTGCAAACTAGATTAAGTCTGAACAATAGAAGGTTAAACAAAACAGAAGTTTCAAAAAGATGTTACCTAGATATGCGCAAGAATATTATGTATTTTACATCTTTCGATATAGATGCAGTCAAATGGCTCTCATTACATGATTTGCAGTTAGCCTCTGCAATTCAACCGCTGTGGAATGGAAATATTGAAAGGGATCAAATTTTAAAAATATTATCAAAAATTGACCTCAGTCCATTGGAATTTTCAAAACGCCTGGACGATATCGGAATACCACCAATGGATGAAACTGGAAACATTTCGTTTGTTCCTCTTCCAGGCTCACTTGTCCCAAAAGATCTCGCTGAAATTTTAGTTCCACTAGAGACTAAACTACCACTGAAGAGTTTTGTAGTTTATAGAGATTGGGAATATGAAGATACAAAAAATCAAATATATCAACCAAATACACATCGCTATAAATACGGAGTAGTTATAGATGTCATCTTATCACACGAACAAAATGCAGAATGTTATAAACTAAATATTGGTGGTTCGTCACCTAGAAATATGCCTATTTCAAAATTATTTATGATAAAAGAAATATCAGAAATAAACTCTTTAACTTTCCAGTTGAATGACGATGAATACAGTCATAGAAGCGATTTAACTTTAGGTTCTGCTATGCGGTTCAGAATGAATCAACAGCCAAATCCACAGCCTGATGAAGGGAAACGTTGGCTTCAACAAGCGATATACGACTTGGAAGTAGCAAAGATGACGAAGAAAACGATTGATGCAGAGCTGTCAAAAGGCTACAACTGGATATGTATTATTTGTCAGCAGGTACTATTAATTTTAAAAAATTTTTAAAGTAGGGTTCCCCATCGCACAAAAACGTGATTCTTGAATAATTTTTTAACGTCAAATTTTAAAAATCAAATTCATTTAACGTTCGAAGACCATCAAAAACCAAACCAGCCTTAATGTGACACACACACTCGTAAAAGTGTCTTATGGCAGTTGCAACCTAAGCTTAAGTAAAAAAAACTCAATTTTATGAACTAAAAATTTACAGAAAAACGTTTAGTTTGAATCATTGGGATACCACAATTATCCATACCTTGAAACACTAAACAATAAGGTTTTGATTTGAATCCAGGAAAAATTCTCTAATCAAATTTCAGTCTCAAAGTCTCAATTAGTTTGTAAACAACTATTTTATATGCAGTGAATTGTACAAACACTTTTAAACATAAATTGTTATATGATTTTTATGGTTTAAAGCTTTCTCAATGGAGCATACGTCTATTTCTTTAGATTATCGAATCGCATCTGTGGTCTTGTGGTAGTGTGCAAGCCTCAAGTGCGAAAGGTCATGTGTTCTATTTCAAATTCTGTACTTTTCTGTATCATTTCATCATGTTTTTTTTTCTTTGGGTTCCGTAATTGTTTTCAGTTTTATTTTCTAATAAACAGAAGTATGATTACAACTACCCAAAAATTCAAACCTTTACAGGCAGCAGAAAAGGCATTAAAGGGGGCAATGTATACCATTAATGCTGATGAGGTTCGTCGTGTCCATAGCCTGACAGCGCATATACCGGAAGGAGATACAGAATTACTTCCCATAGCTAGCCTACTTGAAAGCACTTTTGGGAGCATTGAGAAGATGAGATATCCTATTTATCGTGATTTACCAGCAGATTTATATGAAAAGGAGGATGCACTGGAAGCTTTACACTTTACCGAACAATTAATCGATGAAGTCCAAAAAAAATATATTAACAATCTTGAGATGTAATTCAAATGTTTTGCTTCGACTGGGTTAACAATATTTTGTCTGGGTAACAATATGCCTGTCAGCTTTGTGTTATCTATATAATATTGTACATGTGTATCTCATATTTGAATATTATAATTTATTGACCGCAATAATGAAAATGCTTACTTAGTTTTTTTTTTTAAATGAAAACATCCTATATATTTCATTAATCATGAAGTATTTATTTACATTTTATGAGTTATAAACTAAGAACAAAATATATAAAAGATGTAGTATGATTGCCAATGAGACATCTCTCTAAAAGAGACCAAATGACACAGAAATGAACAACTGTAGGTCAACGAATGGCCTTCAACAATGAGCAAAGATCATACCACTAAGTCAGTATATTTTACTCCAAACAGTTTAAACCTAAATTACAAAAAGCACTAATTATTTATATCGTTATGGAATAGTATATCTATTAAGATATCGTTTCAAAGCTGCTAAATAGGCCGTAGCGTTAATAGTTCCATATGAATACATCCCTTTATTAAAGTTCATATCATCACTTATTTTCCGCGTACATTTCTATCACAAATCAAGTGGATGGTAACCAAGATGTAGTTGATTAGTAGGAAATTATAAGCTATTGTTGATTAATACTACAATATAGTTTTACAAAGGTTCTGTTGCATGGAAATTTTTGTGCTTAAACGGTTTTTTTTTACTGTGTTTGTTTTATTTGTTTGTTTGTTGTAATTTACATGCATTAGTTTGTTATTTTACTCATTTGTTTGTTTATGAACAACATACATCAATGTTTACATTTTTTGTTTAGGCTCAATTTTTATTTCTGTGTTCAATATATTTTTAAACAGATGATAAATATTTAAAAGAGATATTTTCAGGCAAGAAAAAACTAAAGCAATCAAAGTTACTGTTATCAAATATATCATGGGATTAACATTTATTCAAGTGAGAAATAATTTTGGAGATTCCTCCCTTATTCTAGATCTCCTTAAACAAGAACAATGTGAATACTTTTATAGTTTGGTTTCTTTTGTGTTTTTTTTTAAGTTTCTTCATACAAAATGTGTTTTATGTCCCTTTCTTTCTTTTTTCTTTTCTTTCTAGTGTAACTGCGTTTTTTGTTTTATTGTTTTATTTTTGTTCTGTTCTGTAATATATACATTGACGAATTTGTACTTTTTTATTATTTACTGCTAGAAGCATATTGCAAAAAAAAAATGAAATGTAGTCATCCAGACATATCAGCTTCACTTGGCGTCCGTCGTCGTCGTTGTCGTCTGTCGTCGCTATTTTTTTTTAAATCCTTTTTTCTAGATCTGAAACTACTAGGCTAAATTTAACTATAAATTTGGCAACAATCATTATAGGGGTATCTAGTTTTAAAAACATGTGTCCGATGACCCCGCCTGCAAACCAACATTACTAAAATGCAGACATGGCTAAAAATATAACATAGGGGTAAAATGCAAGTTTTGTCTATTATCTTGAAAACCGCTATGAATAGAGGAAATCTGTCGGAACGTTCAATGTTCAGAATTTTTTAGATCTACATGCTGTACATTTACGTCAAAAATGTTGTACGACTTTTTCTAGGAGTTATTGACCTTTATGGTCAAATTTTACCATTTTCTTTTTTCATTGTTGTCTATTATTTTGAAAAGTACAACAAATAGAGAGAAACTTACAAAGAGAAAATGATCACCAAGACTAGATCTACAAATAAGTCAAATTAAATTGTAGGACTACTGAAGTTATTGCCTTTTGATATCGATTTTTATCAATATTTAGTATTTTTGTCTGATATCTTACAAAAATCATCTTCTCTGAATCTACTGAACCAAACGCAAATTTGTTTCTTCTATTTTCTTGTAAACTTCTAAGAATAGAGCAAAATCCACATGAGCAGAGATGTTCAGAATGAATATTGAGATCTCTCTGCTGTTTTTTACGTGAAAAATCTTAAGTCGACTGATAATTGGAGTCATTTACCTGTAAAGATATTTTACCATTTTTTGGAGTTTGTGCCTATTATCTTGGAGGGTAGAATAGAAAAAAATGTAGATAGAAAGATTAAAAACCAAAAATGATATGCATGACATGAACTACAAATATGTCAACATGATTGAAATTGTCATTTTATTTTTTATAGAGTTATTGTCCTTTCTTGATGTTTTTTGTCAAAACTATTGTTGAATATGCAGTAGATTGACACAGGCTCTTTAGAGTCTTTTAGCTAGTTTATTTGTGTCAACATTTCGTCTTCCCAGTGTATACATTACGTGAAGTTAGTTAAAAATTTGTATAATGTTAACATACCAGGATATTAAGGAAACAGAAAAATGTTACACTAAACATACTTTTAGTTATTATTATTTTTTACTTCATCGTATTTGCGTTGTACAATATGCATTAATCTAATTTTATCATTTTTGTCATTCTTTAATTTGTATAGAGTGTTTCAACATGGATTTTATCATTTCAATAATTACTGTAAGTTATTCGTGTAAAGTAATTATATTACATGGTACACTATATGATTGGCAGGAATGGGTCATGTTTATGGTTGTCATTGACCTTAATTAATCTTTGGGCGTCTTATTTATAAGTATTTATGGAAGTCTTGCTAACCGACCAAGAGACTGCTTTCAATTAACGTGGTTTACAAAGTGATAACTTTTTAAGACTTTATATAAATTCATTTTTTAAGTGTATAAAGATGAACAACATGGACAATATGCCAGGCAACACCGTGGCAACAAAGGATGAACAGACTGAAACCACAACACAAAATAAAAAATAGCACAACGAAATTTATCCCTACAGTCCTGGTAAAATTCGCTTCATGTGCACTGACATATGTTTCATCTGCTTAGATGTAACTTTATTGAAGTTTGTATTTAATATTGTCGGATATCATGTGGCTTTAAGTTTGTCTGAATGAAAAAGATATGCAACCGACTCATTTTTAAATTAAATTAATAGAATTTTTCCATTTTTATCCTTATATTGACATGATTATCATTGATACGGTCATTGTTATGCTCTACAAATTTTTTCGGAGGCAAACAGTAATTGCTAAAAAAAATGTCCATCCGCCTTACGTCCTCTTCTTTCCATACGTCCGAAACAAATGGTTTCCGATTGATACATAGAGTTACCTGTGCTTTATAGAAATGAAACTTATACAGATGGAAGTTATAAGAAAGTTAATAGGGCATATTATTTTCGGGTAAATGGATGAAGGCACAAAAATCACTGTTTCTAAAAGTAGGGAAAAATTTGGAATAAATATTTCAGGATGATAACTGGAGTTACCTTGGCTGGATTGATATGAAACTTATTCAGATGAAAGATATAAGGACGGAAAACAGAACATATAGGTCAACAGAAAATAACAACCATGCAGAAGAAAATTGTAAAGTGTTTCCGAGCAAACAAAACACTACATAAAATGTTTGATATGAAATCTGGGACCAATATATATTTCCAGATGAACTGCGTGGTTGTGTTATCTTTAATTCTAACGGTCAACCTGAACTAAGTGTTTAAGAATTTTTCATAACCAACGAGCTTACATATTTACCATAAGAATTCTGGACTAGTGCATAAGTGCAAACATTAATTTATTGTTAAATTGAGAATGGAAATGGGGTATATGTCAAAGAGACAACAAACCGACCAAAGAGCAGATAACAGCCGAAGTTATTGATATAAAATCCAGTGGCAGATATTCGCTATCGATATAGCTATTTGTTTGACTGTACCATCGAATGGTATAGAGAAACAGATTAAACATATTCCTTCATCTTCAACCATGCAGTGGGTAATATATGGTTGAAAGTCTCAAATTGTATGGTTTGTACATTATTACAATACCTGTACTCCATCAACTCTCAAGTCAGCTCATAGTATTCATCTTTAGATAAAAGGGGGTTACTGGAAGGATGGACAATGATGCTATCAGAATTAAAGTAAGGAAGTATGGTTTGTATGTGAATGAGACCAGTATCCGCCAAAACATATAGGACAAAGTTGGGAAATTGCAGGTCATCTTTACGGCTTTCAACAAAGAGTAAAATTCATACCATATTGCAGGCTTTTTAAAAAGGTCCCCGGTTGACAATGTCTGAAACAATTTAAACAACACCAATGAAATTATGACTTACAGCAACAAATGTCTTAGATTTGGTGACCAGTCGCTCAAGAATGTGAAGGAGTTAAACAATCAATTTTTGGCAATAGGTCCTTCTCACCTGTGACAGCAGTATATCAATATTATATAGGAACAATCTGTTAAATCTTTAATTTTGAGTGGCGTAACTTATTTGTTCGATAATAAGCACAAAACAAATAATAAAAAGACAAATGATAAATAGTACCTACCGTATATTAGCATGCTCGCAATTAATAAAATCTTGTTAAATCCAAATTTCAAATATTTAACATTGTTTTCCAGTCTAAATATCAATCAGTACACCTCCAAATGATTTAATAACAAACGTCAGAATCGGTCTTCTAAAATCATGACCTTTTGCAGTGCTCAAATAGAAGTATTGACAGGACGTAGGATTATAAGTGTCAATAACTGGCTGGCAATCATGTTTTATAATGTATCAAACTAGTTAAAAATATTTATATTAGTAAATTTAAAGTAAAGACAATATTCAAAACTGCGCTACAATAATAAATCAACCAAAAGACCAACAGTTTTATATAAATAGTATTCTAATTAATAAGGTTTAATATTTACATTGTACATTGTACAACATCATCACAAAACCAAGATGTGTTTTGCAGTTTGTAATAAGATTTCTAGAGCAACAGTCAACTTAAACTTCAAAGCCAATTCTGATATAATTGTAATGAATAAAAAGAGATGTGACGAAGGTTGTGTACATGTAACAAACAAGTAAAATTCACAGCAAGATAATTCTGCTATTTAAAAAGAACTAATAAAATCATTAAAAAATATAAAGTTAACGTAGAATTGTGTAAAATTTACTTTTTTTTTGTTTGTTTTTCTAGTATATGATAATCCAGATTTCATGATCATTGTTCATAATGTGTGATGAATGTCCAGCTCCGCCACCCTGTACATGCTAATCTATAATCATATTCTGTGCCAACTTGAATCTAACATCCGTTCCTCATTTTTCATATCCCGTTCGCAATGATTCGGCATGGGATCTTGAACTACACGATAATGAAATAAGACATATACGTTATGGTGACTTCAAAAATTTGAAACTACGGAAGTTGTTTATCTCAAACAACAAAATCAATTTGATCGAGAATGGAGCATTAACCGGAAGTGAAGACTCTCTACTCGTTTTTCATTTGAGCAATAACAAACTGACATCTATTCCATCAGATGTTGGCAGACTAAAGCATCTAACTGATTTAGATATACATGACAATCCGATGCAGAATATGCATGAAGATATTATTGAAAACATATCAGGTTCTTTGTTGTCCTTAAGTCTAGGTAACGATATAATGACATCTTGGTCACAATGTCTTGAACGCCTGATAAATTTAACGTCACTTTCAATCTTCAGCTTGAATATTCCTAAACTACCTGATGACGCATTTACCAATTATAGCCACTTGAATATTCTTGAAATTATCTCTACGTAACTATCCAGTATTCCAACATCTATTGGAAAGCTTCTAAACCAACAAAATTGTACAATAATCTGATTCTGGTGGAAGAGAGTTTTTCTCTACATATTTTCCTGGATTTACACAATCTTTCGAGTATAAGCATCGTAAACTCTAGTTTGATATCACTTCCTTTGACATTTTCTGTAATTTCTAGTTTGTCATTCTTGGACATTGAAAATAATCCGATTTCGTATGTTGAAGACTGTGTGTTTGACATGAATGTTTCTTCTAACGTTTGGTTTATGGCTC